AAAAAAAAAATTATTTGCAATATTGTTGCAGCAACGCCTTTCACTGACTTTAAAACTCTCCAGCTTCATATAGTGAATTTAAACCCCCTCGTAAGCGTCATGCATAGACTTTTAAACCTTGGTCGCGTCATGTAGTGAGCTTTAAAAAAAACCGCTGGCGTCATGACCTGAGTTTAAAACCCTCGTCAGTGTCAAGCAATAAGTTTAAAACTCTCGTCAACGTTTCCTATCTTGGCGTTGACAAAATGACACACGTTCTTTATACAGAGTTCTCCGTTACACAAGATTCTTATATTTAGTGTTGCTCTCCTAGCTTTTCCCGATTCTTGTGTTTATTATATATTTTCAATGTATTTCTGATAATTAATGTTGTTAGCATTGTTTTTAACTCGCCCGTTTGTGGGTGGGGAGCCAAGTCTCGGCTCCTGGACCCGCCAGGAGGCTATTCCAGGCCTCGTCAACAATACCATATCTCGTTTTTGAAATATATATTTAGTCTGGTTCTACTACATCCTCATCTGGTCATCCCACGTCCCAACCCTCAGGATACACAAGTATTTCTGACTCATTTGCATCTTCCCAACTTTCCTTCGGTCTTACAGACCGTCTTTCTCTGCCCTTTTATGCCAGTGTTGTATAGTTCATTTCAGTCTTTGTAGTACGTCATTGTTAGTCTTGTTGCGAACCTCCTGGCATTCTCTAGTCTCTGTACTGGTTGTCTCAAGACAGCAATCTGTGTGTGTGTGTGGTGTGTGTGATAATATTATATATATATATTATATATATATATATATAATATTAAATATATATATATATATATATATTGTTCTCCTTATCTCCATTTACACTTGTACATTAAAATATCATAATTGTAATTTAATAAAGAATAGACAGACGCGAGCACACACCACACACACACACCCACACACACAACACACACACACACACACACACAGAACACAGGAAGAAAGGAAGAAACTGAGAGAGATGGTACAAGGCGAAAGGAGGAAAGAGAGGGATGGAGAAGACAGACAGGAATCCCAGACCCAGGAAGAAGATCTAATACAGCCTCCCTCACAACTTTCTATAGAAGCCTCCCAACCAGGTCAACCCAGTGCACCAAAACACTCTAATCAAAACACCCATGCCACATCCAATGCCCCCACCCACACAGTACAAATTTCACCCCACAGCAACAACCCATAGTTCCTTACCAGGTCTCCACTTCCCAACCCCAATATACTTCCCAGACCACAGTCTTAGAAAAGAAGTTGAAGGTGTGGTATACAAATGCAGATGGAATAACAAACAAGTATGAGGAGTGGCACGAAAGAATCAAAGAGACATCCCCAGACATAATAGCACTCACAGAAACAAAAACTCACCAGAATAATAACAGATTCAATCTTTCCATCCGGATATCAAATCTTCAGGAAAGACAGAGGAGGAAGAGGGGGAGGAGAGTTGCATGCTCATTAAAAACCAGTGGGGTTTGAGAAAATGGAAGGAATGGATGGCATGGGCGAAAGGACTACTTAGTAGGAACAATCCAGTCTGAGGGAATAAGGTGATAATTGCAGTAATGTACAACCCACCAAAAGAACTGCAGGAGGCCAAGAGAAGAATACGATGAGAGCAACAGAGCAATGATCAACACACTAGCCGAGGTGGCCAGGAGAGCACACATGGGGGGAGCAAAGTTACTAGTTATGGGTGATTTCAATCACAAGGAGATTGACTGGGAAAACCTGGAGCCCATGGGGGTCCCGAAACATGGAGAGCCAAGATGATGGATGTGGTACTGGAGAACCTCATGCATCAACATGTTAGAGACACTACCAGAGAGAGAGGAGAGGATGAACCAGCAAGGTTGGACCTTGTATTCACCACGAGTAGTTCGGACATCGAGGGTATCATGTATGAAAGGCCCCTGGGAGCTAGTGATCATGTGGTTCTGTGCTTCGACTACATAGTTGAGCTTCCAAGTGGAGAGGAGTAGCAGGAATAGGCTGGGAAAAACCAAACTACAAAAGGGGGAACTACTCAGGCATGAGGAACTTCCTTCAAGACATTCAGTGGAGAGGGAACTGACAGGAAACCAGTACAAGAAATGATGGACTATGTAGCAACAAAATGCAAGGAGGCAGGAGAGGTTTGTTCCCAAGGGAAACAGAAATAATGGGAAGAACAGAACGAGTCCTTGTTCTACCCAAAGGTGTAGGGAGGCAAAAACTAGGTGTAATAGAGAATGGAAAAGGTACAGAAGACAGAGAACTCAGGAAAATAAAGAAATCAGCCGAAGAGCCAGAAACGAATATGCACAGATAAGAAGGGAGGCTCAGAGACAATATGAAAATGACATAGCATCAAAAGTAAAGACTGACCCAAGCTGTTGTACAGCCACATCAGGAGGAAAACAACAGTCAAGGGGCCAGGTAATTAGACTGGGAAGGGTGATGGGGAAAACACGAACGACCGAGAGGTATTTAGGGCCAAACAAATTTAAAGGGTATTTACGTGGAAACCATAGGGCTCCAAGGGAAATCGAAAAGGGGGGCACACCAGCAAGTGCTGGATGAGGTACTAAAAACCAAGGAGGAGGTGAAGAAGCGCTATGGAACTTGACACCTCAAAGGCGGTGGGACCAGACAAAATTTCCAGGGTCCTTAAGGGGAGCAGAGAAAAATAGTGGAGCCATTAAAAAAAACTTAACCCATTTGAAAATGGGCAACTCCCCGAGGGATGGGAAAAAGGCAAATGTTCCCAAATTTTTAAAAAGGGAGACAGACATGAGGCACAAAACACAGACCTTTTTCTCAAAACGTGTAAGTAGCAAGGTCATGGAAAAGACATCAGGGGGAAGTGGGGGGGGCACCTGAAAGAAACAAGTGTATTTTTGACAACCCAAAGGTTTTCGGGGAAAAGGAAAATCCTTGTCACAAAACCTACTAGGTTTTGACAAGGTGACAGAAGTAAGACAAGAGAAGAGGGGTGGATCGACTGCGTATTTTTGGACTGCAAAAAGGGCTTTCGACACAGTTCCTCACAAGAGGTTACTGCAAAAGCTAGAGGACCAGGCACACATAACAGGAAAGGCACTGCAATGGATCAGAGAATATCTGACAGGGAGGAAACAACGAGTCATGGTACGCGACGAGGTGTCAGAGTGGGCGCCGTGACAAGCGGGGTTCCACAGGGGTCAGTCCTAGGACCTGTGCTGTTCTTGGTATACGTGAACGCCCATAACGGAAGGATAGACTCGAAGTGTCCTTTTTTTGCAGACGATGTGAAGTTAATGAGAAGAATCGAATCGGACGAGGATCAGGCAGGACTACAAAGAGATCTGGACAGGCACAAGCCTGGCCCAGCAACTGGCTCCTAAAATTTTTAACCCTGCAAATGCAAAGTCATGAAGATTGGGGAAGGGCAAAGAAGACCGCAGACACAATATAGTTTAGATGGCCAAAGACTGCAAACCTCACAAAAGGGAAAAAGATCTGGGGTGAGTATAACACCGAGCATATCTCCTGAGGCGCACATCAATCAGATAATTTGCTGCAGCATACGGGCGCCTGGCAAACCTACGGATAGCGTTCCGATACCTCAGTAAGGATTCGTTTAAGACTCTTAAACACCCATCTACCGTCAAGCCCATACTGGAGTATGCCAGCACCAGTTTGGAATCCACACCTAGTAAAGCACGTCAAGAAATTAGAGAAAGTGCAAAGGTTTGCAACAAGACTAGTCCCAGAGCTACGGGGATTGTCCTATGAAGAAAGGTTGGGGAAATCGGCCTGACGACACTGGAGGCCAGGAGGGTCAGGGGAGACATGATAACGACAAATAAAATACTGCGCGGAATAGACGAGGTGGACAAAGACGGGATTTTCCCAGGAGGGGGACACAGACACAAGAGGTCACAATTGGAAGTTGAAGACTCAGATGAATCAAAGGGATGTTAGGAAGAAATTTCTTCAGTCATAGAGTAGTCAGGCCATGGAATAGCCTAGAAAGTGATGTGGTGGAGGCAGGAACCATACATAGTTTTAAGGCGAGGTATGATAGAGCTCATGGGGCAGGGAGAGAGAGGACCTAGTAGCAATCAGCGAAGAGGCGGGGCCAGGAGCTGTGACTCGACCCCTGCAACCACAAATAGGTGAGTACAAATAGGTGAGTACACACACACACACACACACATTGTGTTTGTGTTTTCCTGTACAATATTGAAGTCAGTAATTACAAATATTTATATAAATAAAAGACCAGCGTTATGTTGAGATTTTTGTCATTATTACAGTTTTTTATTATTGTATCAACTCGTATAATATAAAAACTATTTTTTTCCAATTAATGAAGATTATTATTAACCATTCAATCAACTATAAAAAATTAAACTTTTTGAATGGAATTGTTTTATTAAAATATTTTTAATGTTTCCTGCGTCATCTTCATTTTCCACTCAGTGTGTCGTCTTTATTTCCCACTGTGTGTCGTCTTTATTTCCCACTGTGTGTCATCTTTATTTCCCACTGTGTGTCATCTTTATTTCCCACTGTGTGTCATCTTTATTTCCCACTGTGTGTCGTCTTTATTTCCCACTGTGTGTCATCTTTATTTCCCACTGTGTCATCTTATTTCCCACTGTGTGTCGTCTTTATTTCCCACTGTGTCATCTTTATTTCCCACTGTGTGTCATCTTTATTTCCCACTGTGTCATCTTATTTCCCACTGTGTGTCGTCTTTATTTCCCACTGTGTCATCTTTATTTCCCACTGTGTGTCATCTTTATTTCCCACTGTGTGTCGTCTTTATTTCCCACTGTGTGTCATCTTTATTTCCCACTCCTTGTGTCTCATCATATTTCTCATCTTATTTTCACACTTCTTTTTTAAGGCGTCCTTACGGATCTAGCTCTTTTCCTTCAATATAAAAATAATAATAATAGATTTAAAGACACTACAAACAAAGTGTACTTTTGTTTACTGGTTCATTTTCTACAGCAAGAAGCAAGAGTCCAGCGCAGTACAGAAGGAAAGAGAATCATCCAACGAAGCATCAGGTTGAAGACATCGCAGGTAAATGAGGCGAGAAAAAAGAGCAGAAGAGTGAAGTCAAACAGAGGATAATGGTGTGGTGTAATTGGTCTATACGTTAGTGTTTTGAGGAGCCAGCCAGGCGCTGACATACACTCGCAATAACCACGAATGTGACCCCTGGATTGCTCCATAAATTGCAAAAATTCTATCCACTATTTATATTCGGAAAATATAGTCCATTACTCGAGGGAGAGAGAGAGAGAGAGAGAGAGAGAGAAACATAGAATGTAGGGACCAGTAAAGGAATATACAATGTTTCTTTTCCTTATGGCCTTCTATCTCGCCCTTCGCCCCTCTTCTATCTTTGGTCTCCCTTTCCCTTAACTCTCCTTTCCCCTCACTTCTTCCCTACCTTCTTCCTCTCTTTTTCCTTACATTATCCTCTTTCTCATATCACTGTATACAACAAGAACATTTCACCCCTCCATGGAAGATGTGTTAATTTAATATCACATACCTGCAATTCCCTCCCAAGAAGCTCATCACCCGTAATACCTTCATTAAATCACTTGTAAAACCATCTGCTCAGGAAGACATTTCTCGTCTAACTAGTAGATATAATTTATCACAAGTTATATATACTGATGGATCTAAGCAGGAGACTACTGGCAGGGCTGCATCTGCTCTTATTGCTACCTCCAGCAGGAGTCTACTGGCAGGGCTGCATCTGCTCTTATTGCTACCTCCAGCAGGAGTCTACTGGCAGGGCTGCATCTGCTCTTATTGCTACCTCCAGCAGGAGTCTACTGGCAGGGCTGCATCTGCTCTTATTGCTACCTCCATAGTTAAGAACAACAGGAACTTTGTTGAATTAGGCATAAGAACTAACAACTGGGCGTCTACACTGCATACAGAAATATTTGCCATCCTAATGGTGCTAAAGCTAACTTATGACACTGAGCTTGATTCTATGATTATAACTGATTCTATGTCATAACTGAAGGCTCTCGACTCACATAATGACTCTAACAACATACTCTTTGCAGAAGCCGGATATAGATACTCAAAAATCATGGAAAAGAGAATTAATGTACAGTTGTGTCCACCACACATTACATTACTCCTTCATAATAAAGTTAAGTTAGCCAAGAAAAGTACCCTGAAGGAGAATGCAAAATATAACTTTGGTGTATCTGTGTCTAGCATTAGGAAAAAAATTAGGAGAGAAGTAAATAATGAAACTAAATATTATAGGAATGCAATTAGAAGCCTGAGTATATCTATAACCCACTATGATAACATGAACGTAGATAGATACGTTTATGAAGCAACTTGCAATGTGAACAGACTAACTGATGTTGTGGTGGCCAGGCTTAGGCTCGGTTACAAGTACTTCTGGAAGTCTAGTAGAGATGATGATCAAACCAAATGCAAAGTATGTGCTTAATTGTTCTCTTATTGAGGAATATTGAGACAGGCAGAATAATAACCTATGTGACATGTCAAGATATTAATGATATTATCCTCCCAGGTATATTATTTCGTAGTTCTCATCCTTAATTAGTTATACACTAAGTTCAATGTTCAGAGTGACGCCGAGCGAGAGAATGCCACTATATACAATATTTAGGACTCTTTCCACTCGCTCCCCCTCCTTCTCCCTTTACGTCCACCCTTCCTTTCCCTTCACATACTTTCACCCTTCCACTTCCTCCCTCTTCCTTTACTTACTTCCTCTCTTCCTCTTGATGTATGTATGTGTGTGTGTGGTGTGTGTGTGTGTGTACTCACCTAATTGTAGTTGCAGGGGTCGAGACTCAGCTCTTGGCTCCGCCTCTTCACTGAACGCTACTAAGTCCTCTCTCTCCCTGCTCCATGAACTTTATCATACCTCGTCTTACAGCTATGTATGGTTCCTGCCTCCACTACATCGCTCGCCAGACTGTTCCACTTCCTGACCACTCTGTAACTGAAGAACTGTTTCCTAACATCCCTGTGACTCGTCTGAGTCTTCAGCTTCCAAGAGTGACCCCTTGTTTCTGTGTCCCCTCTCTGGAACATCTTGTCTCTGTCCACCTTGTCTATTCCACGCAGTATTTTGTATGTCGTTATCATGTCTCCCCTATCCCTCCTGTCCTCCAGTGTGTGTGTGTGTGTACTCACCTAGTTGTGGTCGCAGGGGTCGATTCATAGCTCCTGGCCCAGCCTCTTCACTGGCCGCTACTGGGTCACTCTCCCTGCACTGTGAGTTTTATCATACCTCTGCTTAAAGCTATGAATGGATCCTATCTCCACTATATCACTTCCCAAACTATTCCACTTCCTGACTACCCTGAGACTGAAGTACTTCCTAACATCCCTCTGTGTGTGTGTGTGTGTGTGTGTGTGTGTGTGAGTGAGTGTTAGAGGATATGGGTGTATATTCAAGGGGTGTAGGGTGAGGGTGTTCTTAGGGAGTTTTGAAGGATGTTGCTTATGGGTTTATGCAGCGCTGGGAATCGATTCTTAAGTTCTATGTGTGTGAATCCTGTGCTCTGCTCCTAGACTCCCAAGCCCTCTGTTGGATACAGTGGAAAGGTGGCAACAATATCTCTCTTATTTAGGTAATGTTAGCAATTAGTCACTATCTGCAACGTCAGTTACAAGTTTGTTATAGTAACCAACAAACTCTACCAACTATTTAGACAGAGTGAAAGGCAGCTAGTATATAACTTGTGTTTCCCTGCAGAACAAATTCGATGTGGACCAGCATGGGGTCTCTTACTAGCTGCCTGTTCCATATGTTCCCACGTAGTTCTAACTTCTCAGACTTCTCCCCTTGCTTTCCACCTTTCACAACCTTTTGCTCTCTCATACCCTTACAACATTTCCCTTCTCCATCTTTTTTTTTATCCTCGCTCCCCTCTCTTCCCCTCCCTATTTCCCATCCCCTGTCGTCACTTGTGGCTCTGGCAGCTCCGACCAAGCTGGAGACTAGGCTAGAGGCCAGGCTGGAGGCCAGGCTGAATTCCAGGCTGGAGGCCAGGTTAGAGCCCCAGCCAGACTGGAGGCTAGTCTGGGGGTTAGGCTGGAGCCATGATCAGGCTGGAAGCCATGCTGGATGCCAGGCTGGAGGCTAGGCTGGATGCGAGAATGGATGTAAGACTGAATGCCAGGCTGGATGCCAGGCGGGAGCCCCGGCCAGGCTGGACAGACAGGCACCAACACAACTAATCAAGCAAGCTTTGCGTGAACAATCACGAGACAGACGCGTGTAAAAGGTTTACTGCAGGTTTGATTTTCTCCGCCAAATATTCTCTAACTCTTCCTGGGACCCCAGATTGCAGGGGTGGAAATTATATTTAGCTATTTTCCTTGCAAAACACACGAAATGTTAATGCCAGATTTTGACGTCGCTCTCTTCACGAGAATAAAACTAGTCCCAAGTTTTTACATTGTGCGGTAGAGTTGCATTGATTTTTTTTTATTATTTATAATTATAACCTCTGATCTTTCGGGTAAATTAGTCTGAATGTTGTTGTTGATATGGCGGGTAAAATTGTTTTGAGTATTTTTATTTCCGCGATTAAATTACATTAAACAGTATTCATTACCTTAGTGGAATAACGCTAACAGGAAGCCGAGCCGCCTCTCATCACGGCGCTTGAGTTGTTTACCAAGAAAATACTCCAGCCCCCCTCACTTACTTTGACTTATAAAATGCGTGAGTAGTGTGTGTGGGGGGGAGGAATTGGAATGGGCTGGTTTTCTTATAGCACGCTGTAAGACAGCAGCCAAGCACAACAGCAACCACAGCACTATAATAATCAAACACAACTACACTAATAACAGTAGTAGATGCAGCAACAACAGTTGAAACCAGACGAGGCTCAAAATACGACAGCCTTGCTCAAGTGAAATATGCTTAGAAGGCAGTGCTGGGTGCTGGGTGATGTTCTAGATGCTAGTGGACAACTGCCAGCATATTGGTATACTCCAATGCTGCCTAAGACAGTTAGCATGCAAGTATACTCCAGTGCTGTCCAAGACACACTACACCCACCAGGGAAGGACACTGCACCAGCAAGGTTATACTCACATCTACCAGGGAAGGACACTACAGATTATCATACCAGCGCTCCCTAAACAGGAAAAAAAATTTAATCCTGTACTTAGTAATTTATTTATGAAATATTTAAAGACTGTAATTTAAAAACAAATTCTCCTTGTTACACCATCTGGTTGAAATAAAATGGTGTTGCACTGTTCCACTGGTCATGCACACTGACAGTGTGTACTCTCTTATGTTTTAGTACTTTGAGGAAACGTAGCCATGTGTTCTTTGATGTAGATGTGGCAGAAATCTAAGAGATTGTTTCAGACTTATAATATTCACTGTACATTAATCAACTATGGTTTCGCAAAGCCAAGAAACCATTTTATAGAACCGAACCTAACAGAGAATATAAATGAAAGATACCATGCCACTGTGTAGTATCTAACTCTATGCAGGAATGCATTCATGACCAGTTACTTGGTTATTTAACAACATCCCACATTTTAACATAACAATAAGGTAAACTCGATCCTGTAATCATAATTTTATCTTGTGTAGTTCTTCTGGTGCACTTTGTTATGTCGGTCGTGGGACCAGATGAAATCGAGCCTCAGCAGCACTGATGAAAAAAAAGGACTGTTGTTAACATGTTTTTGAGTCAAAGTGAAACCAACACTGTCAGTGAGATATGACCAACGTGGACACAAAACATGAAAAAAAAATTGTGTATATATACATCTCCAACTCATATCTTATTCATTTGGGGGTCGAAATATACAGATAAATTTCATTTCCTCTTTTTCTTCCTAATATTTTTTTCTAAAACCAGTAATCTATGATCTGTGTCCATAATGAAAGAAACTCCGAAGAATGAAAATAGTCTCATATTTCACATATATTTTGGAAATTCAAGAAAATAAAATTCACCAAAACTGCAGTGACTAAGAGATTTAATTTAGATATACAAGTGTACATACATCTGCGGTGGATATATGTAAAACAA